ACACCCTGGGGTCATTTTGTACCCCCGGGGTTGTATTCTTCACATTTTAGAATACTTCTAGTGCGAAGACTCTCTGAAACTTTCAGTATTTGTCCAAAAATCATTTTGACCGACTGCTATGCAAAGCGTACGGATCGGATTAACGAGTAAATTTTCTCTTTGGAAAGCGGTGGCACTGAGTTCCCCACGTCGTATGGATACGATAGTAAAACACGACGTACAGACAGGGTTAAGTGGTGGCACAGAGTTCCCCACATCGTATGGATACGATAGTAAAACACGACGTACGGACAGGGTTAAGGGGTGGCACAGAGTTCCCCACATCGTATGGATACGATAGTAAAACACGACGTACGGACAGGGTTAAGGGGTGGCACAGAGTTCCCCACATCGTATGGATACGATAGTAAAACACCATGTACAGATAGGGTTAAGTGGTGGCACAGAGTTCCCCACGTCGTATGGATACGATAGTAAAACACGACGTACGGACAGGGTTAACCTTTAGGCCACGAGAGCCCCTCTCACATTGCTCTCTACATATACGGTAGATGATTGTACACATCCTACATCTGTCGTCATCATCCCTCCTCCTGTTTTTGTGTGTGTTTGTTACTCCTCTGTAACACCAGATCTAATCTTCGGCACTTACTTATGTGACTGACCTAATAGTGTTGCAAGTGCAGTAAAACTCTTACTAAAACTAAAACAGTAAATGTAGTCAGTCATGTCAAGAGTTTTTCATTTTTTAAGCTGTGCAAAATCTTGACACGGACACGTTTTTCTAGATAAATTACTTTATGACCGACAGACAATCGTAATGAGTGCCGTGTAAATATCTGAAGAGGTGAATCATTGTGAATGAAAAAAAAAAAAAATGATAAAAATGCCCACTTGACATCACGCAGCCATGGTTTTTTGTTTGTTTTTGTTTTTCAATAACTTGGGAATATGGTCTTACTTTTGGCACTTGCGGTATATGCACAGAAACGGAATGTTGACTCAGTCAGCCCTCTATTTCTCGTCTCCTGTTACTTCATTCATCGTCTCGGATCTTCTAAATCTAGGGCAAAGTTTGCAGAAGTAGGTCCTGAGTCTGTTACATCATACACAGATAGCATAGGAGAAAAGGGAAGGGGGTGGGGAGGGGGATGGGAATGATTGCAAAATGTTTGACGTGTTGTCCAATGTCTTCATTCCGGCCAAAGTCAGTTATTTGAGTTGTGATGACACTGATAGTTTGATGTGTTTTCCAATTTCTTAATTCTGATGTCAGTTATCTGAGTAGTTGTGATAGCAGTTATAGTTTGGTATGTTTTCCGATTTCTTAATTTATTGCGGCCGAAGTCAGTTATTTGGGTTGTGATAACAGCAACAGTTTGACGTGTTTTCCGATTTCTCAATTACAAAGTCAGTTGTTTGAGTTGTGATAACAGTGATAGTTTGATGGGTTTTCCTATGTCTTCATTCCGCGCGAAGTCCGTTATTGGAGTTGTGATATTAACACTGACAGTTTGACGTGTTTTCCGATGTCTTCATTCATTTCGGCCGAAGTCAGTTATTGGAGTTGTGACAACAGTGACAGTTGCTGCTCCTGTTCGGTGACACGACGAACGTGCCACACTGTGTCACCGTACTCAAATTTTCATAATGAGATACACACCTTAGGTCTTAGTTTTAGTAGAGGTTTTACGCACGACGCTCGCAACTGCCACTGCCAAAAGTATACACGCCAAAGTTCACAAGCGTGCAGTCATGATTCACAAAAAATTTTGGAGGGAGCGAATGACTCACAACTGGAGGTATTGTGTTCTTGTGTGGTAAAATTGTATTTTAACTCTACCCGTACGCCCTGGGGTCATTTTTGTACCCCCAGGGTTGTATTCTTCACATTTTAGAATACTTTTAGTACGAAGATCTCTTTGAAACTGTCAGTATTTCTCAAAAAATTATTTTGACAGACTGCCATGCTATGCGAAGCGTACGGATCGGATTAAGGAGTCAATTTTCTCTTTGGAAAGTGGTGGCACAGAGTTTCCCACGTCGTATGGATACGATAGTAAAACATGACGTACGGATAGGGATAAGTGGTGGCACAGAGTTTGCCACATCGTATGGATGCGATAGTAAAACACGACGTACGGATAGGGTTAATGGTTTTTGTCTGTGGTTTTTCCCCCCTCAGGATCAACGCGGACAAGTCGCTCCCGCTGAAGAAGAGGAGGAAGATGCAGCAGAGCAACGTGGAGACCACAGAGCACAAGTCCACACCTTCCCCGCAGCCAGCCTCCGTGTCCGACTCAGAGGGTATGTGTCTGACAGCCTCCGTGTCTGACTCAGAGGGTATGTGCCTGACAGGCTCCGTGTCTGACTCAGAGGGTATGTGCCTGACAGGCTCCGTGTCTGACTCAGAGGGTATGTGTCTGACAGGCTCCGTGTCCGACTCAGAGGGTATGTGTTCGATACTCATTGACAGGGTCCGTACGGGCCTTGGAAAACTGGAAAACTCTTGGAATTTTGTTTTCATTTTCCTAGAGATGGAAGACTCTTGGAATTTTGGGAAGTTGGCGAAATTCGTGGAAAAGTCTTGGAAACACAAAATTTTAACTAGATCTATTGTAAAAAAATATTTCCTCGAAGTTTAGAAGGCCTTGACTTTACGCATTCAGAAGCGTACCATAATGTCTTTATGCATGCTGAGCGAAAAATTCTCTTCTGAAATGACAATTTATTTATCTTGGAAAAAAGAAATCTCTGGTCTTGGAAAAGTCTTGGGGGAAATAAATCTCCTGCTCAGTATGAACCCTGGTTTAATTCTCTTGCCCTCTCTTGTCTTCTTTGTGGTTTTGTCCTTGATTGAGTCGTGGACTCGTCATATGGAGGCTGGTAGTGGCTGTAGGTGGTCATGGCGGGTTCTGCTTAGAGCTTTATCTCTCCATCTTTTATTTCTGTCTACTGGTCTTGGTTTTTGTGGGGGTTTTTGTAGCCTACTCTTAATTTACAGGTAGACTTGTTTTTAAAACAAAAATTACAAACCTGTATGTGTGGGTGGTTGGCAGGTGCTCTAGAGTGGTTTGCTCTTAATTTCCTATCAAACATCAGTCATCATCCTGTCTCCTCCTTCTTTTTTGTGTTTGTCACTCTCATGTAACACCTCTAATCTTCGGCACTTGTGTTACAAAGTGCAGTAAAACTCTTACTAAATATAAACCAACCTCCGACACGTACTTTTAATACATGAATTGGGTTGGAAGTGCTGTAAAACTCTAAACTAAACCTACACTAAATCTGTCGTACTGTGTATGTTTCAGAAGTGGGTGATCCCCCATCCCCCCCGTCGGCCCCTGTAAGGACCAGCTTCACTGTGCAGGCCCCGCCCGTCATCACCATGCAGACGCTCATGGAGATCAAGACGGCGCTCACCGCTGACGAGGACGGAGACCTGTGAGTATTTAATGACTTTTGAGTGACTGACAGAAAGGGATGACTTTGAATGACTGAGCACCAGAAAGAGATGACTTTGACTGACTGACCACAAAGGATGACTTTGAATGACTGATTTCCAATCGGGATGATTTTGATTGACCAAAAGGGATGATTTTTATTGACCAAAGGAGATGATTTTGACTTGACTGACCTACAGAAAGAGATGACTGACTGACTGACAGACTGACCAGCAGCAAGTGTCATTGTTATTAACCCCCCCGTCCCTCATGTCTCCTCCTCCTCCTCCTCCTCCTTCCCCCCACCCAGGCCCCTGCACATCGCGGTAGTCCACGAGAACATGCGCATGGTGAACAAGCTCATCTGTCTGATGAAAATAGCTGGCAAAGGTGTGGACAAGTTCAACAAGCAGCAACAGGTTGGTTTTTGTTGGTTTTGTTTGGGTTTTTTGTTGGTTTTCTGAGGGTTTTTTTGTTT